CGCCCCCCCCCGCACACCCACCCCCCCCCCCCCCTTCGGGACCTGGTCCTGATCTGCGGACACCAGGACTAACTGAAGAATGGATATTTTTAGGAAAGAGAGGGTCTCGGGCAGTGGGGCCTTGGCACCCCCTAGCGGCGGTCACTTCCCAAGGTGTGGAGGGAGGCTTCAGGGCATCCTGGCAGGGCCCTTCCGGTTCGGCCTGGGGCATCCTCACCTCACACTCCCGCATCCTCACAGCGCCCCCAGCCACTTCATGGATCACTTCCCACACCTTCACGGAGGCACCCTCAGCCTTGCCTCCCCACTACTCTACGGACCTATCCTCGCGGGTCTTCTCAAGGCCAGAAGCAGAAAGGTGCGAGCCTCGCTTGGCTCTCTACACCTGGAACAGGTCAGCAGGTAGCGCACCTGAGGTAGCTGGGCACCGGCAGGGGCTAGGCAGCCTCACGGCCAACACCCTCGGGCGCTTCTTGGCCAGGGTGGGGGAAAAAGAGAGCTTTTAGTTCTTTGGAGCTGAGGCTGTTGGAAAGAGCCCATAGATGCTTCTGGTGGAGTGGATGGGTTTTTGCCAAGCACTTTCCTATTCTTTAACATCGGGACCAGTTGGTTGGCTCCACTCGCTGGTTGGATCAGATTTCCCTAGGTCCAGGGGTGTGAAGTCCTTCGGAGCACCCACTGTCGAAGTACAACGCCCCGCAGTCTCCCCGCCCCACAGCAGACAAATTCCCCCCCCCCCCCGCGCCTTGGGTTTATTTTAAAGCACATAAGGTGCCGGCCAAAAGATTTATGATTTCTATACACCAGACATTTCTAACCGCCTAACCCTCCATCCCTTCCATCCAAAGCCAATAAGAAAATACGGTCGGGTTTTGGCAGCTGAACTGAGCCCTAGGAAATGCGGGGAGTCTTGAAAGAGCAAAAGTGTGAAGCGACGCGGGACGAATCTGCAGAAGTTCCCCAGTACCAGCCTTCTCCACACATAAAAACCTCACAGTCGCGCCTCAAAACGTCCCTTGGTTTGTCCCCACTCCCCAACCCCCACGGGCAGCCGACACCCCGGCCAAGACCCAGAGGAGAGGGGATGCACTTCCAGGACGCCCTGCCCCCCGCCCCCCAGTCAGTAATCTAGTTCGCGCAGATATTTACAGAGTAAAAAATGACAATATCTGGCCGTCCCGGGACGCCCATGCAATCTGTTAGTAATTTAGCGGGATGGGAATTTCCTTTCTCCGGCCTGCCAGTGGAAGCGCTTTTCCAAATTTCCACAGAGAGGGAAGCCTGCGATTTTACATAATGACTTCAACATGCAAGGCGTCTCCGCACCCCTCCCCCGCCGCCTGTACCCCCTAGTCCGTCAGAGCGGAGAGCCGCTCTCTCTGAATACCCGCGTGGACCAGGTCGTCTGGATCTCGCCCTTTTCTTCCCCTTTCGTCCCCGCCAGCCCCAATATCTCCCCACTCTCCTCATGAGCCCTTTTCCTCCTGCTGCTCATCTTCCCGCCCTTCGCGCCCCTAGCTTCCCTCTTGTGCACCTCGGCGCACCTCTGGGTGCCCCTTCCCGTCCCTTTAGTCCGTGTTGCCCCCGTGAGCCCCTGCCCTGCCAGTGCGCCCCGCCGTTCTACCCCGGGGTGCCCCTGTCCTGCCCAGGGCGCCCCGCCTGCCCAGCGAGCAGCGGCCACGGCGCAGAGGGCGGCGCTCCGCGACTAGTCCCCCGGGCCCCGCGCCGGCTCGGGCCGGCAGGGGCGTGATGTCACTGCAGGGAGGGGGCGCGGGAGCAGTGGGGCGGGCGGGAGGCCAGGGAGGTGTTTTCCAGCTTTAAAAAGGCTGGAAGGCTGAGCGCGGCCCTGCGTCAGAGTGTGACCGACAGGCTCGGAACTGGGCGGCAGAGTCGCTGTGCTAATCCGATCCGCCCGGCGCAGGCTCCCAGGAGCTGCGCACACCTCCGACCCCAGGGCGAGTCCCGGGCCGCAACCCGGCCTGCCACGCGCGCACCCCCCTATGCCACCTCCCCGCGGCGCGCGGCGCTGAGCCCGGCCCCGCGCGTGTCGGCGAGGGAGAGGTCCGACTCCAGAGCCCGGCCCGGGCTGCTCGGCTCGCCAGCTCCTGCTCCTCCTGCTGCTGCGCGCCGCCACCGCCGCCACCGCCGCGTGGATGCCAAGTACCAGCTTTCCAGTCCCTTCCAAGTTTCCACTCGGCCCTCCGGCCGCAGTCTGCGGGAGCGGAGAAACTTTGCGGCCCGCGCCGCCCGCCGGCGGCACCATGAAGGCTGCGGAGGAAGGTAAGCTCTGCACCCCCTCCCTGAGCCCCAGGGTGCCCTGGCCCCGCGGTGCCAGCTGTCCGTACCCCGTCCCCATCGCGAGCCCATCTCGGGGGCCCTGTGGCGGGTCCTGGTCTGAGCGCCCAGGGAGGGGCGCGGGCGTCCGACAGGACAGCGTGGCACACGCTGGGAAGGGTGTCCCCCTGGTGTTTCCCCGGCGTAGCCCTGATTTCTAGCGCGCTTTCTTGCCAATAGGTGTCTCCTCTTTTCGAGCGCGAACTTGAGCATGGCTTAGTATCGCCGCGATCTCCGCTGGGGAAACTCAATTCAAATGGGTGCGAATTGGGGATGGGGTGAGGGAGGGTCGTCAGAACCACTAAGAACACTTTGGGATGAAGTGAAGCTTCTTTGGAGAGGAAAGAGGACCCACTTTCTTCCCGAGGGAGACAAGACTACCTTGTAGTGTGAAGAGCAACTCCTTGACACAAAGTTTGAGGGTCCTTGCACTCTTCCAACCTGGTCGAATCCTGGGTACATCTCACTAAGCAAGGGGCTTAGACGACTGTCCTGGAGTGGTTCAGGTTTATAGGTATCTCTCAAGCTTGTGGGCAAATGTTGCCTTTGAGCATAGCCCAATACTCAAGCCATTCGCATTTAGAGGAAAGTTTTGCCTTAGAAAAAATGCTTTGGAAAAGCTGAAGGACTGTCAGGCTTCCAGCTGCTGCCTCAAGATAAAGAATATGCACTGGCATGTACTCCATACTCTCCCTCAGAGACTTTCTATGCCCCTTTAAAAGAACCAACAAAATAATTTTTATAAAACATGTGGCTCCTGCAGGTGTCTTTGTAACACGTTGTAAAGGATGGTTGGCCTCTCAGCAGGAGGTTAAGATAACCTGACCTGTCTAAGATGGAACCTGGGAGCCACATCTCTTCATTCCTTATTGGCTCTGAAGTATGTTAGTTAAAATTACTGACAGCAAGCTGGTCCCCTGCTAGGACTGGGGCACTTCAATTTACAAGGGAGGCCATCCTTCAGACAAGCGGTTGAAAGGAAACCCTAGCTTCCTGCAGGACTCTGAGTGTGTCAGGCCCTTGCACTGGGACAGCAGTCCCCATAGAGGCAGTTGATCTTTCAACTCAAGACCCTTAAGCTCAGCACAAAAGGATCAGAATTTTCAGAGTCTCATGTCTGAGGTAGAAAGAATTCTGTGAACTTTGAATCAAAGGAGGCAGATATTGCTTGTTTCTTACCATTCCGCTTAACTTTAAAGAATGCCTAAATGATGTGATGTGCGGAGATGTTTTGGTGTTTAGGAGAGCTCTTGCTATAAAAAAAAGTTTAGCAATGTTTTTGTTGGTTTAGATTTTGAATTCCTTGACTTTTATTTCTCCACACATTTATCAATGTTTAGAAAACAAGTTTTCTAAAACCTAGATTTATTTAATTGAAGAATTACCATTTCATAGTAAGAAATCTTTTCTTCAAAGCACAGTTTGATGGCTCAATTTGTAATCCCAGGTGTAACCTCAGCGCTTGGGAAGCTGAGATAAAAGGAATGCCATGAATTTGAGGCCAGCCTGCACAACAAAGCCAGTACCAGGCCAGTCTGAAGCTACAGTATAAGACTCTGTCCCAACAAAATGAAACAAAACAAAATCTTTTTTTTTCAAAAAAACAAAATTTTTTTTTTTTTTTTTTTTTTTTTTGTACAAAAGGAAAAGCTATTGTGGGGGGTAGTGGTTTTTTCTTGTGTTTCCTACTTAGGAAAGGAAGTCTGAAAATGCCTTTGCTGAAGCAATGGACTAGAGGCAATAATGTCCTTTGATCAAACTGCATTGGTATATTTTGTAGACAGTACATAACTGGATTAAACAGAAAATGTGATGCCGTCCAGAGACAGGCCAACCCATGCAGGGGAAGGAAAATGAGTGCAGCAGATCAGCCTCTGCCATTGCTAAGGGCCATAGGGAACACCCCGTCCTTCCTGAGTTGGCCTTGACCTAGGCACCAGCTGCTCTCCGAGGCCCTCTAGCTTGATGGGCATCTGGATGGAAACTCATCAGGCCTGGCCATTTCTGAAGGCCTTGTGCTGCTCTGTTCAGAACTCCAAGAAACACAGGCCTGTAGGTAGCCTTGCATCAAGAGTTGCTTCACACAATGCTCGACAGGCTCTCCAGAACTGAACAAAGCTTGCCCTGTTCTCTAACCATTTAGCTTCATGACATTGTTTCCTAATCCAGATTAGAAAATGCTTTGGCCTTGTGTCCTGCTTCATCACACCCAACAGTGGAGCTCTGTACCCCATTAATATCCTGCCATTTTGGGAGGAAGCGGTCCAAGCTAAACACTTCTATCAAGACTGGAGTGTCTTATAAACTGACAAACCAGAATTCAAACCAAAGCTCCACACTATACAAATGATAGGGAAGGGGGCTGGTGGTGTCACAGGAGTTGTGCATTTCTGACCCCTGATCTGGGGACATAGATAAGGAAGGGACCAAATCAACCTTTGAGAGAAGAGCCCTGTGGCTCCCCTCCTGTGATCCCTGAATCTAGGGGCATGTGGGCAGAGTAAGCCAGGTTCTCTGTATCTTTATCGAAAAGCTTTAGTCAAAACAGATGAGTCTGTAACTTTGTGGTAGAGGTGAAAAGATGGCTGAAGGGAGAAAATGAGATCGAGGCTTCTCCATGGAACATAGAACTTCCATTTGCCTGAAGGTCAGCAGAAAAGCAAATGAAAACAAAACAACTCTCCAACATGCATCTCAAAGTGGGAACTATTATTAGAAACTAAATCAGGCCAGACCGAACCATAGTTTATCATGGGAGAAAAAACAGTTATTGGAGCAGGGTCCTGGGAGAGGTGGCAGCCCACGTGAGACTCAAGTAAGCCTCTGGAAAAAGCCATCCCCCAGGACCCAGGGCCATAGGGCAGAAGGGGGACACCACCACCACCTGGGGACTAACATCTGGTGGCAGACACTAACACAGACCTCTCTCCTCCTTTCCTTCCTGATTCCCTCACAGCTCTGATGCTGGCCTCTCTTGCTCTGCCACCATTTTCCTGGTATTCCAGATGTTGGTTTATGTGGTGCCAAGACACCTGGAAAGTTAGAGCAAAAAGTTGGGAGAAACAGGAAAAGATGGATGAGACTCCACAGGCCCAGCCTTTCCTTCTGACTGTTTTGCACAAGCTATTCTGTGTCAGGCTGGGTAACCTCCAGCACCCACTCAGCTCTTGAGAGCTTTGAAATCACCCCTACGATGTCATGACACGAGAGTATGTAATGTTTTAGGAGCTGGGGGACTAATGCGGCCTTACTGCAGGAAAACAGGATTTGCTGTAAGCCAGAGGGCTGCTCTGGGTAAACTTGGATGGTCTCTAGGCACCTAGGCCCAGGACTTTATCAACATAAAGGAGAGAGCAGCCCTCAGGAACCCACCTATTTCCCTGGCACTTTCAGGTAATTTCTTTGGTAAAGAGGCTGGAAAATGTTATTTCCCAACATTTACTGCTTGAAGTCGCAAAATTCCTGAGGTGGGCTACTGGAAGCCTCTCTGAAGGCAGGCCTCCTCCTCCCCTAGCCAGTTAGCGGGGGCAGTTGGCCCAGGCAGCAACTTAGAGGAAGTCTTAGGCCAAGAGGGGCCACAGCTTGAAACTTTACTTTTCTCTTTCTTTTCTTTCTTCTTTCCCTTTTCTTTTCCTTTTTCCTTCCTTTTCCTTTTCTTTTCTCTCTTCTCTTTTCTTTTTGACTAATCCACTAGCCTTGGTCTTTTTCCTGGTGCAGGGGATCAGCAAGACCCACCGCACCTCCTATGGCTGCGGAAAGCGCACCAAGCTGAGCGGGAACCCGACGACCAGCTGCGAGGCTGGGTGGCGGGTCTACGACGCAGTTCCAGCCCCGCTGGCCCGGCGCTCAAGTCCTTAAGGACCGCTCAGCTGGACCTCGGCTGTTGTGTATGGACAGTGATCCGGGCTGGCTGCGCCGAGGTTGAGGTTGGGGCGTGGACATCTAGTCTGTGGGGCGGGGGCGTCTACCCGTAACCCGGGTCTTGCAGAGAACAGGAGTCCCGCGGGATCCTGCGGGGTACGGAGTGACCTGCTGAGGGGGGATGTCCCACCGGGCGCAGAGTCCAGCGGGGGACAGAGGTCCAGCGGGGCGGGGTCCTGCTGGGGACTGGGAGTCCTGCCTGGGAACGGGGTGTCCTGTCCGGGGACGGGGAAGTCCCACGGGGCGCGGGGTCCTGCGGACGCGAGAGTGTCACCCAGGCTGCGCTCGGGCTCGCGCGCAGAGTTTATTTAAAACTCGGAAGCGGGAGGCTGCGAGCTGCTTGTTTATGTAAACCCGGAAACACCCGGGGGGACAGGGGCGGGACCGGGGCGGGAGGCCGGGGAGGGGACAGG